AATCCATGAATAACAGGCGACGAAAAATTTCACGCGTGTGAAGCGCGGGTGATATGTAACAGCTCTTTACAAATGCCTCTCTCTCTCTCTCTCTCTCTTTCTCCCTCTCTTCCCCTCTCCTTTTATAGCTTAATCTATCTACAATTCTACATGGTCCAATATGTACCCTGTGCACTGGGCTCCGTAAAATTAAACTAGCATCTCTCTTCCTCGAGAAAAAGATTGATACAATCGCAATTACCCTCGCGTCATGCATCGGCGTACTATTCGCAAACGCCCGACAAAGAGAAAGAGAAAGAGAGAGAGAGAAAGAGAGACGTCAATGCGGACGAATTTTAACCACTAAACGGAAAGATTGTCAAGATTATACTCACACGAGGAACCCGGAAATCGGATTTCAACTTATCGTACTAGAGTTCTAAACGTCATCTCAATAAAAATTATCGTGCCGGACGTAAATTCTCGCGCTTGAATCACAATACCACTCCGATCTTTAGCAACGATCTCGGTATAATACAATTGCGATATCATCAATCGAGTATTATAGTAGGGCAACTCCTCCGAGAGATATCTCTGAAACAGGCGCGCATGCGCAACCAGCCTACAACTAGGTGCAGCACTATAAGTGATTCGTTATCCAATCACACGTTTCGCTGCGCTTTACTGTTTCCGGACAAGCGGGAGATGATTGGTCGCCGCCTATTGTTCCATAATGCATTCTATATTTTCGCGCATGCGCGGTACGGCAAAATGCCTAATGCATGTGAAATAAATATATGAGCTACTTTTCAAATTCTGTTTATCCTGTAAAAATTACCTAAGTCTTTTCATGTATTTCTATTTAAATAAACATATTTAGTTGCCCGAATTTCTATTCTCTGCCAAAGAACCTGCTCGAATTTTCGTGCCTGTAAAATTTTCTCCAACAAAAACTAGATTAAAACGCTAGTTGGTAACATTAATGACGCACGTATGATACGCATGCGTGACAAAATCTCCAAATTCCTATATTTGTTATTGTTCATATTTGACAATTGTGTTGATTGTAATTTTGTTGTACATTTAATCGGTCAACGAATTTCGATTGAAAAAAATGATTTATAGTAAAGAACATAAGATAATCTTGCAAAATATTATGCATGAAGGTGCTTTACATGAAAATCGTGGAAAAGAATTAATTTCCAAGTTATTTGGTATGTAAGATCGATCATGAATAATATAAAATACACACAATATTTTACGTACAATTATGCGAAATATTGTGCCAAAAATGAAATTAAACTTTATTGACTATCGACAAATTTTAGGCCACGAGAATACAACGCAAATATTAAACGAAATAAATGCGAAACTACAACCATTATACATGATCATAAAGTGTATAAATTGCGAAGTTACCGGTCAGTCGTATTGGGTTTGGGCAAGTACGGTGCAAGATAAAACCGCGAGGTAATAACTATTTAAATATCTTAATTAAGGTGTGTTTTATAATATTGTAGACTTTGTATACTCAACTTGTGTTTACTGTTTTACAGATTTCATCCTGAATTTTCACAAGCTGAATTAGCTCTATTGCGTAATGTATATTCTGAAATTGTTACTTCAAGCAATGGTCATGTATCAAGTACATGGTGCCTTAATTTATGTTCGACATTAAATGTAAAACTAACCAAAGCTAATGCCGAGGAATTTCTATACGAGATGGTTAATAAAAAATGGTTAGCATGCAAGGTACCAAATTTTTGCTGTATGATTTTAATAGTTTAGTTTGAAGACATTCTATTATAAAGAAACATTTTCCAGAATGGTAAATACTATATGGGAGTAAGAAGCATAGTTGAACTACTACAATATTTCAAAGACACGTATCAAGATAATCTTCATACTTGTACTTTATGCAAAGAAGTACTTTTCTATGTAAGATGACTATGAACATATACATATTGATACAGAACACATATTGCAATATTATTAGAACAATGCTCATTTTTCTCATTACACAGGGTGAGAAATGCGATCAATGTAATACTACAACGCACATTCATTGTTTGAAGAATTATGCAATGACTCGTGGCGGTTTGGAATGTCCTAATTGTCATCATCCTATATCGCAACATGATCAGTCTAGTAATATTTTATCCCATTTTTTAATTTCATTTTTCGTATTTGTGTACTTAACTAATAATCTGCCTGCATTTACTATATCAAGCTGTTTTCTCAACATGTGCTTAGTACATCGCATGTTTATGATATTTTAAATAAAATATATATTGATTTTTTTTATTTATTTTTAAAAAGATCTGCATTCTCTAGGTAATGATACCAATTCTGCAATGGATATCGATGAGATAGATATTGAAATGGATGAAGTGACACAGCCTATTCTGAGAAGATCAAAGAGAAAACATAAAGATTAATATAAGAGAGATATTTTTTAATTCATTACAATAAACACTTTACATTTTAATAAAATAAATGTTGCTGAGTATAGACTCTCTTTAATATGTTTATCTTTTTATTATACAAGAATAAATACATTAAACAAAAAAAAAAAAAAAAAAAAAACAATAAAAAAAAAAAAATACTATAATAAAAATTTTTACTACGTCCACTTACTGTGATTTTCCTCAAACTTTTCTCTCAAATATTTTAGACCAGCCATTATGCTATCCTCATTTATATTTCGTGACACTGTTCCTTCTTTGCTTGTGTGAATGGATTTATCACTTGAAACTGAAGATGAAGTATTTTCACCAGGAAGAGGAATATTTATATCATTTGGCAATTTATGTTGCTCAGATGTATATGCTCCAAGATAACCATACATATTTTGTGAATAATTGCTGGACAGATGAGATAATGGATATGAAACATTTGCTTGTCCCTGAGATGGCAATAGATTAGATAAACTTGTAGCAGGATTTAATGCTGATTCTGTTGTATATTTAGGCAATTCATATCTAATGTTACTCTTACTTATTGTACTTATTGTACTATTATATTCTACTAAATTGTTTTTGTCATTCTGATTATTGCTATCAACATTTTTTCCAATGGAGACTGTCTCATTGCTGAACTCATTACTGTCTTCATGATTCTGTAAATTGGTACTAGATTTTTTAACAGGTTCTTGGGATTCATAAGTTTCTGTGTTATCAAGCTCTTTATCATGAGCTAATTCCTCGTCAATATTTTTAGAACTGTTGTAAAATCCAGCACTTGTAAGATTATTGTAAACTGGTCCAAATTCATCAGTTCTTTGTTCTCTACATTTATGTATCCATTCCTCTTGTGACATTACATGCCAATGATCCTTTTTATCCAATAGTTCTCCAAAGGCTCTTATTTTATCTTCATCATTATTCTTTTCTTCCTGATGAGTAGTTTCAGTTTCCGTAATGTTTGCAGATTTATGATCAGTTTCCACGCTAGACTTTTCGTTATCGTTTTCTATAGATTTATCATTATTTTTATTAGCTTCGTTAATATTATCAGTAGAATTAATTGACTTATTTTCCAATGCCAGTTCCTCTTCTGTAGGTTCTACTGGTAAGCCCGCTCTGATCCGCTGTCTAATTCTTGCCGCCTTTAATCTGTTCTGTTCCATTCTCTCCTTCAATTCCTTGATCTCTTTCATTTCTTTCTGCCTCCTCTCTGTTTCCTTCCTTAAATTCGTTAGATTCTCTTGCTGTTTCACTCTCTCCTCCTCATCTTGGGAAAATGCATAGTAACCAACACCATGCGCTCGCGCTTCATCGAATAATATATCTTGATAATGTATATCGACCTTATCTGCAAGCTTTTGCGTTTGTTCCTCCCATTTCCTTCTCATAATTTCTATCTCAGGTTCTTTTTCTTGAATAGGATATTGTCCTTTATTTTCTTCTTCTCCGTCTTCATTGGTGCTTCTTTTCATTATTTCTCGCTTTATTAATTCATCCTTCTTTTGCATATGTGGCAAATCTTCCCGCAAACATTTTCTAGTACGACCAAAACAATCTTGATATTCAACCCAACTTTCTTCTGGCTCTATTGGATGTAGTTCATTAATCGTTTCATCGACAAATTCTTCGTCGGGTTCATCTAATTTGTTTTTGAAATCAACAAGAAATTTGTCATTATTATTTTTTGATTTCTGCAATCTTTCATACAATCTTGCTTTAGCTTCCAACATCAACTTTGATTTTTTATGGGCGATAATGTCTTCTGCATCTATTGATTTTTTAGGATTCCTTTCCACATCTTCTACAACAACTTTCTTGTTCCTTTTCTTGTTTAACTGCGGTAGCACATTGATGGACTCTGCTTTTAACTTCGCCTCATTTACTTCGGTTTGTTTCCTCAACAGCTCTGCTTTCAAACCAACTAAGGATGAAAAATTGACATTGATTTTCTTGGTCATATTCATTATTGGACTGTTGTGTCAATCTTAATAACTGTCAGTAAGTATTCTTTGTAAGAGAGCACTAATAAATACAAGTTTTCTATGATGATTTGTACGATACAAAGATATCGACGATTAATATGATTTATGTTCTTCTTCCTAAAAAATAGAATATTGTTATATACTTGAATTATAAAAACGTTCGGGAATTTATTATACAATAGTATACTTATATATATACGTACGATTTGTAAAAACTCAAAACACATATCCTATCAAAATTATATGAGAATTATGCGAAAACATTTCACAACATCCACAATGAGAGGAATTGAAATATTATTTTTTTTAACAAGACTGTAATGTGCAATTCTCTCTCTTTCTTTAAAAATGACATATGACTTTGAGCTTTGAGCTGAGGCTATACTATGTTTGTGAATACGATTTTGGCCATAGAAAATATATGTATATAGTAGATAGAGAAACTAACTCATAGAATATAAATCGTATAGTAAATTATGTGTAATACACATTGATCAATCAGGAGTCAGGAGCAAAACAACAAAAAGTTCTTTGTTCTAATTGGTCAATCAAACATTACACTACTCGATAAGTTTTTGAACACAACTTTGATATTGCACATAGTGGAAAAACACTAAAATTGTGCTTCAACGATACATATCACGCCGCGCCTTGAAAATTGACCTTATATGGACAGCTCGAAGTCGTCGAGAAAGTACGAGACGAAGAGTGTGTGATATTCGCAAACGCAAATTTCGAAAAACGAAAGAATGGCGGCGATCAGTTTATTGAATCCGAAAGCCGAGTTTGCCCGGGCGGCTCAAGCACTAGCGGTGAACATCACCGCCGCGAAGGGGATTCAGGATGTGATGAAGACCAATTTAGGACCCAAGGGGACCATGAAGATGTATGTACCCGTAGATTCACACGTGCCGCGATTCCATCTATATCGCTCTCATAATCAATTTTTTTGATATTTCGAACTATTTGACGCTGAATGTTCCCGAGACAAAATATCTACGTCCACTCTTTATTTCCAGTCGCGTATCCGAGGAATCCGTCCATGATTTCCTGACGATGTATTATTCTCCTTATCAGGACACGTTTTACGAATTACCAATTAAGCGTTGACGTTTCATGCATATTATTTCTTAATAAAGCGTTTCTGTTTTTGTTTTGTTTAATATATTAATGTTATTTTGCTATCTGTGCTCGATATATAATAACAGTAAAAAGAAAATATTAATAAATTTTTTGAGTTTTAATTTAATTAATTATGGAGATATTATTTTTATATAATTAAGCGCGCGGACGTTAATTTTGTACAAATCAAATTTCCAGGTTGGTTTCTGGAGCTGGAGATATAAAAATCACCAAGGATGGCAATGTACTTCTACATGAAATGCAAATTCAGCATCCTACAGCATCCTTAATAGCAAGAGCGTCTACAGCTCAAGACGATATGACTGGTGACGGTACAACCAGCACTGTGCTAGTCATTGGTGAACTTTTGAAGCAAGCTGATCTATATATAACAGAGGGATTACATCCTAGAGTGATTGCCGATGGTTTTGACTTAGCTCGTGCTAAGGCATTAGAAGTATTGGATACGTTGAAAATTTCAATCGAGCCCGTCAAGACGAGCTTATTGGACATTGCAAGGACCTCGCTTAGGACAAAAGTTCATCACACTGTAGCTGACAAGTTAACTGAGATTTGCGTGGATGCTGTATTGGCTATTAAGCAAGAGGATAAAGAGATAGACTTGCATATGATTGAATTAATGGAGATGCAACATAGAACGGCAATTGATACTACTCTAATTCGTGGCATAGTCACTGATCATGGAGCCAGGCATCCGGACATGCCAAAGAGAGTAGAGAATGCTTACATTCTGACCTGTAATGTGAGCTTAGAATATGAAAAAAGTGAGGTAAGTATATAATGCTAGAAAGAATATATAAAATTATAATTTGAGACAAGTATAGGAATACTGAAGATATAATTCTGTTTCGGATTCTAATTTTTAATAGGTGAACAGTGGATTCTTTTATAAATCAGCTGAGGAGCGCGAAAAATTGGTGGCCGCTGAACGTGTGTTTATCGATAATCGTGTGAAGAAGATAATCGAATTGAAGAAGAAATTGTGCGATGGAACGGATAAATCGTTCGTCGTGATAAATCAAAAAGGAATAGATCCGCAGTCCCTAGATATGCTCGCAAAGGAGAACATTGTCGCTTTGCGTAGAGCCAAGCGCAGAAACATGGAGCGTTTAGCGCTTGCATGTGGTGGTGTAGCCATGAATTCTGTAGATGATCTGAAAGAAGAACATTTGGGATGGGCTGGCCTTGTATATGAACATGTGCTGGTAAATTTCTATGTTTGACACAATATTGAGACAAGAGCTATCGTAGTATAAATCAGGCAAAACATAATTTTTAATAATTTTTTTCTAGGGAGAAAACAAGTACACTTTCATAGAAGAGTGCAAAAAGCCAAACTCTGTAACAATTTTATTAAAGGTAAAATTTATTGCATTTGATTATTTGTGTTCACGTATGCATAGGAATACTTATAACATATTGATATTCCAGGGACCTAATAAATTTACAGTAGAACAATTAAAAGATGCTGTACGTGATGGACTTAGGGCAATAAAGAATGCTATCGACGACGGTGCAATCGTGCCAGGAGGTGGAGCCTTTGAGGTTGCAGCTAGCCAAGCTCTTCAACGGTATAAAGAACAAGTAAAGGGAAAGCAACGTCTGGGAGTACAAGCTTATGCGGAAGCTTTACTTGTCATTCCAAAAATTCTTGGTAAGCTGTAATACTCATAAATCTCTAATTTTATCAACACTATTAGTATTGTCATTATTAACATCTGTTTCTACTTTTTTATTTTCAGCTGTTAATAGTGGATTTGATCCGCAAGATACAATTGTTAAATTATTAGAGGAGAGCACTGCTCTAGAAGAAGCTGTAGGGTTGGATTTGTCCACAGGAGAAGCTATAAAACCCGCGGATGCTGGCATTTATGATAATTACAATGTAAAGAAACAAATTATCAATTCTTGGTAAGATATTGCTATTGAAATATAATTTAAATTATTAGTAATTCATATATGATGATAACTTACATGGATTTTTCATTTTCAGTACAATAATCGCCAGTAATCTTCTTCTGGTTGACGAAATAATGAGAGCAGGATTATCTTCGCTAAAGGGTTAATAACTCTTATGAGATACAGAATTTAAGAATTATTAACCATTTTTTTTCACAAAATTAATTAAATTACTGGATTATTATTCATGTTGCATTATGTCTGTTAACTGAATTCGTCGCTTATATCGCTTCTAATGTGAATATTTAATATGATAATGAATTTTCACACTGAACTTAATAAAGTAATGCTTTTGTATAAAATATTCCATTTATTTAACCAAAATTTATAGCGTTGCAAATTTAAGATGAGAAATATAAAAAGCATCTCTGAGAGCATGAATTTATAAATATATAAATAATAAAAATATATGTCATATTTTTAAGAAAAAGAAAAGGAGAAAAAATATTAATAACTTTAACAAAAAAAAAGTTAGGGTATTAAATGCAAAAACGGAAAAGGGGACATAAGTTAATCCTGTCAAAAGAGATAGATGTGTGATGTGATGCTCCCATTTTTTGTGCTAAAAAATAACTTCGTATTGTGCTCGATGATTAAAATAAAGTAATTATTCATATATATACTAATTTATAAAAATCAAAAATATTTATTTGAAGTATGGTACATATATTTACATCTCCTTAAGATATTTCCGTTACAATACATAGGACGCGTGTCAGTCTTGTTTTATTACAGAAAATCCTGCTTACTATTTTCCATCATCTCAAGATGATATCCGGGATGAAAGAAAAATTTGGTCACTGGAGATTACAATGTAATGCGCTAACTTTAAACCTGATATCTTTATATTATTCCTGTATACATCAAACGTGATTGCTAAAATAGTGTATTGTAGGACTTTGAACTAAAGCTTATCTTTATTTTTTCGTAAAAATAAAAAAGCATAATAAAATATTTAAATAAAAGATATTTACATAGTACAAAAGAGAGAGAAAGAGGGGGAGGGGGAAGATATATATATATATATATATATATAATATGACATTTCACATTTCCTTACCTTATTTCATATTAAAACTGTCTTGCTATTTTGAGTGAAATAAATACAATGTTGAGTGATACAAAAATGACTAACGTGTAATTTTAGAAAGAATATTAAAAAGTTTTTTATTTAACTTTTTTTCGATAATTAGCATGATGTAAGTTTGCGATGTAATTATAGGTTTAACAAATTCGATTTCAACAGACCATATATGTTTCGTATTATATAAAAGTATCATATCTAACATATACTCGACATTTTTTTAAATAAAATATTCTACGAACTTTTTAATTGTACTAATCGTTTATACGATCTTTTTTCCTCTAATGCTATTTTTTAGTTGTGTATCATCACTTTTACTATATACATGTAGCATTCTATGAAACGAAGAAATAAAAAATAAAAAGATACAAACGACATTAATTGTTTTTCGTTTCTGATATCGTAAATAAGTTTCATACAAAAATTGTAATTATGGTTTTGTATTATAAATCCACACATATATCAGTTTTCGCGGTGATTTGCTCAATCACTATTAATGATGGAAAATCCTGAATCTCGATATAATACGAAATTATGTATCTACCTACTTACCTGTATTATGTGAAAAAAATAAATATGACATTAGTCGGAGTTCGACAAGATCGCGGCATATCTAGGATCTTTCCTGATATCCTTCAACAGTATTTTTGGATTAATATTAATCAACGTAGACAGAGTGAGGCAGGTTAACCTCATACTATGACCTCCGACTACCATATATGTGTTCAACTCAGCCAGATTAATTGGGCTGCTTGGTATTCCGTAATGGGAGGACGGTTCACTCTCCGTCTCTCCCACTTCTAATTTTGTCTTTATGCTGCGTGGCATCGACTGGTATGACATAAAAGCGCTCGACGGATATCTTGGCAACGGATTCGTGGATTTGCGAGCGACAGCCTTGAACACACGCGGACCCGGTCTCGCGTACGAGACGAGGGATCTAGTCGTAGACTTTCTCGCGACAGCCTGATGACCACCGCTAGCACTGTCACCTTTAAGCATCGAAACGCTGGGAATATGGCTCTGGTTGCTCTTCATCGCAACATCACCGAAGTCCAGGCTCCGCTTAGCCTGATTCACTATCAAGTTCTCCACAACCGAGTTCAAATTGGGAATACTCTCGGTTTTCACTGCGGGGCTTGAATATTTCGGAGCATTATACGCAGGGAGCCGTATCGGCGTGCTAAAATATAGACATTCGCGTTGTTTAATTAGGCGTCTTTTTATAGAGGCGACAGCAGCGTACGAGGTACAATGCGATCTTACCCTTTCGACTGATCCTGCTTCTGTTGCTGTAGCTGCTCCTGCCATTTCTGCGGCAGATGAGAATGAAACATGTTCTGATGAGTCATTCTATCGCTGTCAGTCTCGCAAAATTCCTGGCACCACTGACAGATCCATCCGCGCCGTTGAACCACAATTGATGATAGGTTCTCTGACCGTTCTACAAAGTCGCGAGGCGATTTTTTGACGACATTCTTGTTCGCACAATTCTTGGGTGATGACAATCTCGACAGAGGTATCTCTTTATACTTAAACGGAAGATTGATTTTTGCATTGAAAGCGGTTTCCGGGCCTTTCGATTCCTTGTGCACGTAACTCCAATGTCGCTTGACGGATGGCAATGAGTTGCTGCGAAAGATGCAATAGAAGCAACTGTAGATCATCGTCAGCGTCGGTTTGCCGGGAGATATCACAGGTTCTTCTTCCTCTTCTTCCTCCTCCTCCTCTTCCTCCTCTATATCGTCTAACGTGTCACATGAATCGATATCCTGTTTCTTAGGCATCGACGGCTTACTTATCGCCTCGCCACAGGAGGATCTGGCCGTCGACGATAATTCCTGGTACTTAAACTGCATCGTGGGGTGATTAAATTCCCAATGCTCCAGCAATTCGGCTTTGAAGGAGCAACTGTAAGTGCAATATAAGCACTTGAGATTGTGCTTGGGAGTGGCGTGCGATCTCATGTGCGATTTCAGACCGGTGTAATTCATGGCCGTGAAGCCGCACACCTCGCACTTCTCTCGCATGTCCGCGCGATTGCCAGCAGTGGTATCGCTGGCATCCTCCGCGTTCAATTTCCTTTTTTTGGTTTTTAGCGGACAGACAATACCATATTCCTTTTCCCAGAACTCATTGGTCAGTTTCGCGTTTCCCCAAGCGGATGGATTGTGTATGATCTTCTCCGGCTCCTTCGGATGCTTTGAGCGAATATGTTGACGCATTATCGGCTCCGAGTTGGTACTACGGTCGCAGTAGGGACACAAGAAGCTGAGTCGTTTCAAATGCGAGTATTGAATGTGCAGCTTTAATCCGCGCGGACGATTGAAGATCATTTGACAGTGCTTGCAGACAAGTGGTTTTTCCGATATCTCTTCGTTTTTCTCGCAAACTGCGCGTAAAAATCGTATACGATATACTTCATTTTGTATGGGAAGGATTGAGATACAATAATTCTGAATATGATCTGTGTACTTACATTTATCGTTTTTGGGCTTATTTTCGTTGTTCTTATTCTCGAGTGCTTCGTCTTCTTTCATATCGATAATAAGATCCTCGTTGTCTCTGCTGTCACCATCATCGGTATCTATACTGCTCCTATTAGCATCTTGAAGGATGTCGCTCTGCAGATTAGATATTGTAGGCGCGAGATTTACAGTTCTCTTGTCAGTTTGGGTTTTTTTGGGAGAAATTGCGTTATCAACTTCTTGACTTCCAGCAGATGTATTACCAGATATCTCGACACTTTTGTAGATAACATTGATGTTTTTAGCCGCCTTGATCATAATAGTCTGCTTCTTCAGTAAAGTCATTACCTGCATAAAATTTATATACATAATTCTCGCTTTTCTGGCGTTTCTAACCTGATACAAAAAATTACAAATCTTGATAAGAGCATACCCAATCCTCAATCGCATTGTCCGGGGAGAGTGGCTCATGATCCGGAGATTCTCCATTATGGCGTTTTCCAAAATGTTGTATTAACGCATTACGATTCACCGATAAATATCCGCAAGCTTTACAATGCCACCTAAAAATGAATACATATAATCTTTTTTAATAATATTTTCGCAAAAAAAAATGAGCAACTTCTAAAAATGTCATAATGCAATCTGAAGACAGATTGTGTTTGCATTCTAAGATTTAATATCACTTACCTCGCATAATTCAACTCCCTGTAAAGGTGATCTCTCATATCGTGCTTATACTTGGTTCTGAAATTATTACACAATGTACAGATGTATAGGTTGCCATCCGGCTTGCCGTAAGGTCCAAATCTTCCCACATCCGAGTCGTTCAAATCAGTCGCGCCCGTTTCAGAATCTTTAGTCGATTTGTTGACATCACGCGCTGTATTACCTTTGCTCTGCTCGTTTCCCTTTCTAATTCGTCCGTCGCCTTCCGCTTCTTCGGCTAGTTTGTCGCACGAAAGCGATCTCTTTGATTTCTCTTTAAACTGTTTGTTATTATCATCGCCTGACTTTCCTGATCTCATCTTAGCTGACTTTGTCAAAATGTCCGTATCATTCTTGCGTTTACCCAGAGATACCTTTGAAGGGGACGACAATCCTTCGTACGTCACAGGATCTTCAATCTCCTCTTCTAAAAGAATACCGCGAATATGTCGAATCCGCGGCACACTTCTTCTCCAAAGCGGCGTCGTGTCGAAGGGCTCATCCTGCCCACCTTGCTCCGTAGTTTCCGCATTACGTTTATTGACCCCCTTTATCCTCTGATAGATCACAATATAATCGGCATTGGAATCTAACGCATGCTTGCCACTCATGTGTTGCTCGAGAACTACCTTTCCGCTCGTCTTGAATGAGCACAAGGTACACTTGTATTGACCATTCTCGCCATGAATGGTATCTGCATGGACGGTTATATCGGCTTTGTAAACACACTTAAAGTCGCAGAGATTGCACTTCCAATGATTGCCGTCCGGATCAGGAACTTCTTCCTCCGTTTCCTCGTTAATCGTTTGTTGAACGTTCTCCGTATTCTCGATTTCTCTAACTACTTTTACGAATGGTCTTTTTTCTGGATGCTTATCGGTAAGATGCCGCTCCACAACGTGCCTAGATGATATTTCGATACTATCAGAAAGCATAGAAAATGCACTCCCGCCACAAAAAAAAGATCTTAAAACATCTGACAAGTGTAACATTTTTTTCATATATCAATTTTTTTGATGGATGAATAATATTATATTTTATGAT